GTGAATACAAAACCCTCTTAAAATGTATAACAAATATAACAATATTGGAAACAAATACAACAACTACAAACTAATGACAATAATATTAGTTTTTACTGATAAACTGTTGTCTAAGGCCACCCCGGCTCCCATCATGAGCATGGTGCAAGCCGGTCCCTGCCCACGCCATGGTGGAACATCAAGGAAAGATACTACAAGGCACAAGGTGTGTGTGTGTCTGTGAGTGAGTGAAAGGGACAGAGAGTGTTGGTAAGAAATTATTCAAATAATAAAATTTACAATATAGTGCTACAGTGAGTTGTCAAGAATCAAAGAGAGGATTATATGGATTGGAGTTTGGATTTAATGTCCATGTTTAATGTTCACAATCATTTGCTGTTCATATAAAACAGGGAGTGCATTAAAATAGCTTGACTCAGGGTAGAAATGTTGCTATGTCTCCACCATGAAGCTCTGCCTTGGAATCCCATCACATGTCAGTGACTCATCGATTTCATTTAATGAGGGACTAAACACTGTATAGTGATTTACTCAACTAAGGTGTTCAACTTTTCCAAACATAACACAGTATTTATAGTATCTGAAGAACACATAACAGACCAAACTCGGTGCACAAATTGGACAAACCAAGCATAAAACACACATGATAGGGCAGTGCATTTCTGTTGTAAATAATCCAGTAACTACCTGGCTGACACTCCAACTTATGCAGGTGACGGTATTGCACCTTAAGGCTGGAAGAAGAAGAACCCTACCGCACAGACAGTATACACATTAAAGACCGATAGCATCACGATAGCACAATTATTCATGCTTACCTCCAGACTGTCACCAAAGCTACATGTTGACTGGTTGGCAGAGAACAATCCTTAAATGCTAACAAAGCCTGCTGATACACTCGCTTATCAAGTAATATACCACACATATTCCTGATTTTGTTTTTTCACGCAATGATTTATCTGTTTCATATCACTTTAAACTGGCAAATGTGTTAGCTTGGATGCAGTCAAATGCTAAAACAAAGCCAGTACTGATTGGAGATTATTTTGTGCACAAAGATGTTTTTGACTCGGATGAAAAAAATACGACACTTGACAATAAACACTTTGACCTTTGATTTTATCTGAAATAACCAATAAAACCAGTGACACTGGCCACTTAAGACCATATTTGTTTTGCACAGTATTTAGTTGACATAAGGTGTTAAGGATAGGAAATTTAAAGGATAGTGTATATTATGTAATAAGTAAGCAACTGGATATTTTGTAAAAAATATTTTCTGATATAACTTTCTAAACATTACCTCCCCTCTCAACAGTCAGCGAGTTTGTATGGAATTTACCCGAGCAACAAGCCCAATCAGAAAAGTGCTGCTTGTGTTCTGGTTTACCCCTGCCTGTTTTAACTTTCTGAGACACTGTTAAGAAGGTTGACATACTATTAACACTGTTGATTGTTGAACAATATAGTTAAACTCATTATCAAGTTGTGTTCTAAGATAGGGCATTTGAATTATAATGTGTGTAATATAATGAGTAAACAATTGACTAGTTCATTTAGATCATTTTTAAATGACTTTTGGAAACTTGTCAGTTTCGATCATCACTGATTCCCTTTTCAGGAAGCTGCATTTAAACTATTTATATTATAGCCTTAATAGCCTTAAACAGCCTTGAACATTACCACATACTGTAAAAGTGTAAACCCACTAAAATCATAGGAATGTCAATAACATCAAAACTTGACTCAATAACAACAGAGTATTAAACCTTTTCAGGAATTTTATATAGAAGCTTAAAAGAGTTACAGCAAAGCAGCAAGCAATAATATATAAACCTTAAAATCATCAATAATTGTCTTGATTGGCTTACAACTTCAATAAATCAACAACTGCTATTTCTAAACAATCACTCTAAAATAATTATACTGATTAAAATTGTTATGGTTGAACTAAGCTCTTGATCTGAATAAAAGCCAAAGGTATTCTCACTGAATCCTGTTCTTAGCTGGCTTGAGGTGAGGTGGTGGCAGGTCGAGCAATTGTTTGTTCCTCTTTTTCCTTTTGGCCAGGATTCAAGCTTTCAAAAGGAAAAAATTAATAGATAAATAGAAAAATCAAAACTCATCAGAAAAACCTCATTCTCTTCTGGTTCAATTTTCAAAACTCTCAAAGAGAAAATAGGAGAAAATCAGAAAAACTGTGTTTTTATTGGTCAAATCTTCTGTAACTCAGGAAAACATAAAGACATGAAAAACAACAGTCTTCTTTTGGTCCAAATCTTCTTTTCTCTGAGAAACACAGAAACAATCAAAAGAGCAACATCGATCCTCTTCTGTTCCATTCTTCCTTCTTCAAACAGGGAAGAAGAGAGTGTCAGGAAATCTTCTGCATCTGTCCCCAGTCCTCTGTTGGTTTGAGTTTGTTGGATTGTGGCTCTCTGTTGAAATTCAGATCACCATCTTTTAAACAAGAATTCAGAGTTTCCTCTTGCTGAATCTTGAGGCTTTGGCACAGTAAATCGTCCCCCGCCATCATCCCACTCTCCCTGGCGGCTCTATTTCTGGTTCCCTTCGTTTCCTCCCCCACAGGCCGGGGCCCGGAGGAGTAAGGGGTTGGGGGGGGGACTCCTCTCGTTCCTCTTTTTGCCAGGGTTTTTAAAGGATTTTTTTATATTTTGAATACAATACCTGACTGAACTGATTATCATTGATTAGACATTGGTGACAATTATCAGTCTAATCTTTACTTTATGCATGAAACCATGATTTTCTACTTTCCTTAATACTCTGTCTCTTCTCTCTGTCTCACACCACACATGGATGTATGGATGTGTGTCTTACCTCCCTTTTCTCCATGTTTCAGCATTTTCACTCTCTATGATTCAGATTCTGAATGTACTTTAGACTTCTAAACATACCTTTTTCAATACAATCCTTTCTCATTTTATTCTTACACATTCACTAATGATTATTTCAAACAAAACACACACAAATCATCTAATGATTATCTTCACTTTTCTGCTTTTTACATTCTGCCATAGCATTTTAATAATTTTCCTTTCTCTCCCAGCTCCTCTTGCTGCTTCTTGTAAACATTCTTGCTGTTCTTGTGTGAATTCTAACTGAAAAGAAACAGTCTACTGCAGCCCTTCTTGTAAGGTTATTTCTGATGCCAGATCCTCAGAGGCCAGTTCTGCTGTTATGGCCTGTGTTTCTTGTGCTTTTTGGTTCTCTCCGGGACCCGTTTTTACAGGCTTGCTGACAGGTGCATCCTCTCCTTTGGTTTCCTTTGAATATAGCTTTAAAATATTGTTAGTATTTGTAATTTTAATTTAAACTGGAAAATAATCTTTGTTGCATAAATTAAAATTTGAGTTTAAAAGCACTACAGTGCACCCTTAATGTTTCCAAAGACTCATGGTGCTACCACTCATACTTTGACTGGTATGACCAGTAGCATATGGTGGCTGTTGTCATGCTGTTATGTTAGCAAACTGTAGAAACTGTCTTGCAGTGAGTCAATTTGCTGACTTTATGGCTCCTCTCTTGTTACTTTCATGCTACGTTTAGCATGTCAAAGATAAATATTTCATTGGTTTTATCTGAGAAGTAAAATGAGAAGTAAATGTACCTTAACAGGAGATGCGTTTGTTTCCTGCTTGTGGTAAGATTCCTTTTGCTCTTAGTCAGGCTGCCTAATGATGAAGCAACTGACTTTGAAAATTGAAGTCATTATCCCATAATTGTCACTTGTTGCTACTGCA